GCTGTTGCAGCAGAATGAGACTACGGCTCCCAGGAGGGAGCGATCACGTGACTAGAATGAACCACTCGGCAAAGACTAAGGGTGGTACAGAGCCACTCCCCTTGTTGTCCTTTTATTGGTCGAGACGCCCCGGTCAGTTCCATCCTCTCCCCTTGAAGGGGAGGGAGCCTGGTTCTGCTCGCGCCCCCAAACCCTTCAGGAGTGGGTGGGGTGTAAAAACCCCGTTGGCTGGGGTGGGTTCTTGAGCAACAATCTCTCCCCTAGCACAAATGGTACTGTCCAAAGAGCTGGATGGGTAGGGCGGAGTTATCACGATAGGGCCTTACCCTAGGCAAGGACAGTGTCACGTGACTGAGTAATGGCTGGGTCATATAAACAGGAAGGGCAGTCACGTACTACTAGGCCACATGACTGGAGAAGAGCAGGGTCACGTGACTCAAGGCAAGGTCGGGGTCGCAGGACTAGGGCTGGGTCACGTGACAGAGCAAATACAAGGTCATATGGTTTTTCGGCAAGGTGTGGTGGTAGAGCCAGCTGCCTGGAGGAAGAGTCCCTGTGCCAGTGACACACACCCAGGTCCCCCACCTGCACCTCCCCTCACCATTCCTATACACTGAGCATCCACACTGCAAAGCTGCAGTCCTGGGCCAGTAGGATAACCAAACCGGCCTAGTCCCACACCCTGCTGGCTGCCAGCCTTGGCATTCAGTGCAGAATTCAGCATCTGACCCAGGCCATTAGGAAACAGTTTGAAATCAAGCTAGATCCCTTCCATGTCTTTGTGCTGGCTCTGGAAGCCACTCCAGCCCTGCCCCTAATGCCGGACATGGATGGATGTAGTGACATGTCCCTCATGAATGCGTGGGATCAACATCCCACAGCTGAAATGTGTCACGGGAGGAAGGGGAGCACATGGTCTGCACAGAAAAGTAATCCACAGCACAGGGTAGCTTCCTAGAAATTGGTCCCAGACAGAACCTGCTTCCTGTACTGTATTTATAAACCTGATGCTGGGTATTTGATCTCTTGAATGTATTTCACATCAAACCACGCTGTATACGCAATCATCACCATTCATCAAATGGAGCAAACGGAAGCCAAAGTTTAATTAGCACAAGTAATATTTTGCGGATGGTGTGCCCCAACCTTCCCTTAATGGCTATTACTTATATTTTTCTCTGGCTGGCTGCCACTAGCAACTTCATTATCAAATTGAACTCAGCAGCTTGGGAACTGAAGCAACCTGCATATGGGCTTTTTCTGTAGTTCTCGTCCAACTATTTTTCTAATCTCATCATGCAGACTGACCCACGGCTTGCCACGGGACATGAAAAGTTTGGTAGAACCTGAATTGTTTTCATTTTTCCCCAATTCTTGATGTTTTTGCTTTCCACTTGGACTTGACATCTTCAAAATCCTCAGCCATGTCTTCTACGTTTGGGAAGGCTTGGAAAACAGATGACCCAATTTCTTTGTACAATGTTCTTTGAATAGCTTAACCGTGTTAATAAATTACTCCCACAGTTTCTGTGAACTCTTCTAAGGAGTGTCCCTTTGGCAAAGACCAGAAAACATCTCAGGAACAGCCTTCTCACTCAGGCTGGAGACCTTCACAAAGACTTGTGCACACATTAAGAAATGAGCAGAAAATCTGTGACTGTATACATTGGTCAGTTAGGGTATGTCTACACTACAGCGCTAATTCGAACTAACTTAGTTCAAATTAGTTAATTCGAACTAAGCTAATTCGAACTAACGCATCTAGAACTAAAAACTAGTTCGAATTAGCATTTTGCTAATTCGAAATAGCATGTCCACATTAAGTGGACCCTGAACCAGGGTTAAGGATGGCCGGAAGCAGTGCCGGCAGGGCATCAGATGAGGACTTAGAGTGTGGAGCTGCTGTCTCAGGCTAGCCGAGGGCTGTGCTTAAAGGGACCCAACCCGCATCCCAGACAGACAGTTCTCAGGGGTGCCCCGCTTGCAAAGCAGTCCTGGCTTGGAGTGCCCTGAGTGCCCACACTGGGCACATCACACCACTCGGCCATCAGACCGGCTGCACTTGCCGCAGGCTGCCATCTAGGGAGAGGAGGCAATTGGGGGGCTGCAGGAGAGCTTCCACCCCCACAAGCCCGCAGAGCCAGCCCAGTCCTCCCCATTGAGGGCTCGTACCCCATTCCTCCCTCACCTCCTTCCACTTACCCTTCCCTAGCCCCCCTTCCTGATGTACAAAATAAAGAAAACGTGTGGTCAAAAATAGAATCTCTCTTTATTGAACAAAACTGGGGGAGACTGGGAAAAGGAGGTGGGAGAGGGGAAGAGAGAGGGTGGGAGAGGGGAGGGCAACTAAAATGATCAGAGGTTTTGAACAGGTCCCATATGAAGAGAGGCTAAAGAGACTGGGACTTTTCAGTTTAGAAAAGAGGAGACTGAGGGGGGATAGGATAGAGGTCTATAAAAGCATGAGTGGGGTGGAGAGGGTGCATCAAGAAAAGTTCTTCA